TTATCTCACACAAAATGACAATCAAGTTCAATATGTTTTGTGCGTTCGTGAAACACCTGATTAGAAGCGAGATGGACAGCAGCTGGATTATCCCAAAACAGCCTGACATGATCAACAAGAAGATTGAATGAAGAAAGCAAAGACGCCAGTCAAACTAACTCACAAGTAACAACAGCCATCGCACGATATTCTGCGATTGGCTACAGCAGCTTGCTTCTTGGATTTCCATGAAATAAGGCTATTGCCAAGATACGTGCAAAAACCAATCGTAGAACGCTTAGTATCATGACATGATCCATAGTTCGAATCAACAAAAACACTTAAATGAAGAGTGGAATCTACAGGGAAGAAAAGATTGTTTGATGTAAGCAAGCAAGTCCTTCAAAGCTGGCAAATGAGGTAATCTGGAAGTGACAAATTGACTTAACAAATCAACAGTATTAACTATGTTTGGTCTTGTATTTATGAGGTATAACAACCATTCGATCAATCTTCTATACTCATGAGGATCAGACAGAAGCTTTCCTTCCTTTGCACTTAGCTTTAAAGAGGGTATCATGGGCGAATCCACAAGTTCCTTGCCAGGCAACCAGTATCTTCTAAAAGCCGTAAAGCATATTTCTTTTGAGACAAGGAAATGTCAGTCTTATTTCGTGCAATCTCAAAACCCAAAAAATAACGCAATGGACCCAAACCCTTCAGCTTAAAATGTTGTTGTCGAAATGCTTGAACAATAGCAAGCAACTGCTTATTCTTGCCAGTGATGGCAATAACGTCGACATAAACTAAAAGAGTTATAAAATCATCACCAGACCTTTTTGTGAATAAAGAATGCTCAAATGGTGATTGTTAAAAACCAAACTTCAAGACAACAGAGCAAAAGGTATTAAATCATTATCTAGAAGCATGTCTGAGCCCGTAGATTGACTTGTGCAATCTACAAACCAAATTTGAGCCTTTCAACTGATTCTTGTAATCAAGGGGAAACTTCATGAAACTTTCTCATTCAAGCTTCCATTCAAAAAGGCATTGTTGACATCTAGCTAAATAAGATGCCATTCATGCACAGCAACTAAAGTAAGCAGCAGTCTGAACGAAGTCATATTGGCAACAGGCGAGAATGTGTCTAGAAAATCAATCCCTTCAACATGTGTGAAGCCCTTAGCAACGAGCCTGGTCATATATTGATCAATCGAACCATCTGCTTTTTTTTATACGATAGACCCATTTGCAGTTGATAGGCTTATTCCTTTTAGGCAAAGGAACTATGGACCAAATCTCAAGAGATTTCATTGCTCGAAGCTCCTCATTCATAGCATCCCTCTAGGCAGGTGACTTGATAGCCTGATGATAGAAAGTCGACTCGGATTGAGATGAGATATTTGCTATAAAACCACCATATTTGGAAAATAGCTTTGATGACGAGAGATGAGCCTCTATGGGATGACTTGACCATTTTGTGGAAGAAGCATGATTGCAATAGTACTGTTGAAGATATGAAGGTTTTTGTGTCACACGAGAGGATCATCGAGAAAAAATTTGAGCAACCTGCTCCACACATGGAAACAATATTAGAAGTGTTGATTCATTAACACCATATACCTCAAGTATGGGTTCTTCCACCAAATCATTGGCATCAAAGTCAGCCATTTCCTATTGTGTATCCATGGAATCAACAGGTGCTTGTAGTATATTCATGTGATCAACAGACTGCTCATAACTAATCTACAAACCATGATATTGTAAAACACGCGGAGAAGATATGTCAGCAGAATCACTAAGAATATGTGGCAAAGAATAATCTCAGAAAAAACCAATAGCATGATCGGGTATGTTGATGTTATGAAACGAAAAAATACATTCATGGAACATCACATCTCTAGTAACTACAATCTTTTGAGTTTGCGACACAAACTTTATAACCCTTTATACCAACAAGATAACCAAGGAACACAGCTGGCAACGCTCGTGCTGAAAACTTATCACGATGAGACTTTAATGTAGAAATAAAACAAAGGCATCCAAACACCTTTAAGTGATTATAATCAGGAGGCTGGCCAAACAGAATTTCATAAGGAGACTTGTTCTGCAGTCTTGGTGGAACTGTTTATAAAAAAATGTGGCAGTGAGAAGACAATCACCCCAAAATCTGATGGGTACATTCGATTGAAAATACAAAGCTCGAGCAACAGAAAGTGAGTGCTAGTGTTTCCCCTCAACAACTGGATTTTGTTGAGGCATTTCAACACACGAAAACTGATGCATTATACCAAATTTAGCAAACAATTCAGTAAACTTCAGCTCAGGCGTATTATCAGACCTAAAACATTTAATATCATAGCCAAACTGTCTCTTAACCATGGCAATAAACACAGGTATAATGGTGCCAACATCGGATTTATGCTTAAGTAAACAAGTCCAAATAGATCTCAAAAAATTATCTACTAAAATCAAAAAGGTCTGATTTGAATAAGTGGCATGTTTGTAAGAGCCCATATATCGCAATACACCAAGTCAAAAACTTGCTTAGCTTGATCATTAGAAACAGGAGAAGGTAACCTTTGGTGTTTAGCTAATGGGCAAACATGAAAAGGATGTTTTTCATTGAAATTCTTCAAAGGCAATACATCTTTAAGAAGATAAAGAACATTATTACAAGAAGCATTAAACTTGCAAGGAGACATCTACAGCAGATAAAGCCCTTTATGCAGCTCACCCTTCCCAATCACATAATGCAGGTCCTGAATCAAACAATTAATTTTGTTGAACAACATGCTGAAATCAGAATCACTCGCCAAAGCACTAACTGATAAAAGAATGAAACTAAACTCTGGTACAAATAGAACATCATAAAGAACAAACGTAGGAGAAAATCAAACTGTCCCGACAAACCCAACTGAAATAATTGATTTATCTAGCAAAACCACAGAACCCTCGGAGATAGGGACTAACGATTCAAAGAGAGACCTTGAAAAACAAACATGTTTAGAGGCTCCATAGTCCAATATCCAATAATGCGAATTCTCAAGAGACAGAGCATTAATATAGGATAAGATCTCACCCTTCATGGATGCATTTATAGAAGACGAAGGAATATCACAAGAAGGAAGCAATCTGCAATTGAGATGTAAGCATGACAATTAACTGCCGACATTGCTGAGGTGTCAAAGAATCATTCGTTGATGCAAAATTCTGCTGAGAAACTTCAGTCGTTGTAACGACTGAATTAGCATGAGCCAATTGATTATTTGTAGTATCAGAAAATCGGTTCTTGGAAGCATAGCTAGGAGGATAACAGTGACTCTTGGAAGATCTCGCCCAGATTTTTAATACGGGGAAAAAATCAGAGCAATGGAAAAAGGGGATTGGAGGTGGTCGTAGGCGAGGACCTGATAGCTGTTAGCACGCATCTGAGCGCACCCAACCCGGACCTTCAACTCCTCCAGCGAGACAGCACTCGTAGGGTATTGATGTTTCTTTTTTTAAACCACACGAGGGAAACACCAGGAAAAGACCTCAACATTTCCCCCCCGACCGAGGATGGTTTAGGGTTTACAAGTATCGAGGCTACAACGGTCTCTTCCCACCTCCTTTGAACTCCCGCTTCAAACCATTTAGTTAAACGCAACTACGTTTACCCTTTCCCACTCCATGTGGGATAAACATCAATCTTGCTTCAACAAGTCTTGTAAGAAATCACATGGTGGTCGGTGTTGGATAAACGACAGCCATTAAAATACTCCGACTAATCATTATTAAATATGATTTGGATAATAAAAATAATCATTATATTTACATATCCACGTAGGTCATTATCAATATACTCCAATATATTTATTGAGATTCCTCCAACGATACTATTATTTTATCATAATCTGCAAAACATGTTAATCTATGAACAAAAATGATACGAACGTTAAACAAACAAAAATTAAATGATGTATTTCAACTCTATTAAATTTCAAGAATTTTATAAAATGATTTTTTTTTAATTTGATTCTTTCAATTCTCTTACAATTAAGTCCTTTAACTTACAAATCCTTTCAAAGCAATCATTTTATTTTATCACATTCATTTCAGTCCCCAGTTTTCATCAATTCTTTCCAATCTGACCCCAACATATTGATTTCCTTCAATTTATTGCTCTGAACTTCCTATTTAATTAATTGAACCTATTTAACTTTATTTTTTACAATTCAGTCCCAAACTTTAAAAATTGTAACTGTCGAATAAATTTCAAGACATTACAATATTCATTAAAATAAAAATCTAAGGTTTGTTTATTTTACGTAAAACATTTTCCAAAAAATGTTTTTCTCGTTTTATAGTGTTGGTTGGCAGAAAATAGGCTAATCAATGTAAAACATTTTGTTGATCAATAAAATTTTCTTTTTGCATTTTTTTTGAAAACAAATTTACAGTTTAATTTTACATAAGCCATTTTATAATTTTTTCACTTCGAAGTATAAATACTCAAATAATATTATATTATTGTTTAATATTAATATAATATTTTAATATCATTTTAATAAAAAAATATTAATTATTAAAATGTTTAAAATATATTTATTAATATTTTTGATAATATGATATATACATTTTAATATTATAATATATGATCTTATATTTTATTTTAATAATATATAATAAATTATTAATAAAATTTATATTATTCATTAATTTCCTAAAAACAATATTATTAAATTAATAATTAATAATAATAATTTTATATATTTAATATTAATATAATAGTCTGATAATATATTAATAAAAAACTTAAAATATTTTTATTCATAATTTTCACAATATAATATAATATTTTATTTTAATAAATAATTAATATAATTCATAATATTTTTTATAGAATATATCATTTTCTCTTCCAAGAATATAATTTTTCCTTTCGTAGTATTTTGTTTTAAAGAGACTTATTGCGGAGCTAATTGAATACGCGTCAGTTAATGAAGGAAAGCAAGCAAAGAAATGGACTTAGATGGCAATCGAGCAAGGCAAACTAAAGATGACTCAACAACAATGACCAAAGTCTCAAACAGAACATGACAGCGGATAAAGCATATCAATATTGGTCCAACAAAACGTCATTTAAAAACTAAACAAAAATAAAACCAAATTTTAGAAAACTATCCTTCCACTCACAATTATAGCTCAAATGCAATCTCACTTCTTCTTGGCGGCAGATTTGGTGACCTTGGCACCGGTTGGGTCCTTCTTCTCTACGCTCTTGATGACACCAACAGCCACGGTTTGACGCATGTCCCTGACAGCAAAACGTCCAAGAGGTGGGTACTCCGAGAAAGTCTCGACAACCATAGGCTTGGTGGGAACCATCTTCACCATCCCTGCATCACCGTTCTTCAAGAACTTGGGTTCCTTCTCGAGCTCTTTGCCTGATCGCCTGTCGATCTTGGTCAACAATTCAGCAAACTTCACGGCAATGTGGGAGGTGTGACAGTCGAGGACTGGAGCATATCCATTTCCGATCTGACCAGGGTGGTTCATGATGATGACTTGTGAGGTGAAGTTGGCTGCCTCCTTGGCTGGATCATCCTTTGAGTTTGAAGCAACAAAACCACGCTTGAGATCCTTAACAGCAACATTCTTAACATTGAACCCAACGTTGTCACCGGGGAGAGCCTCCGGGAGAGATTCATGGTGCATCTCAACAGACTTAACTTCCGTGGTCAGACCAGAGGGGCCAAAGGTCACGACCATACCGGGTTTAAGGACACCAGTCTCAACACGACCAACAGGGACAGTTCCGATACCACCAATCTTGTAGACGTCCTGAAGTGGTAATCGGAGTGGCTTGTCTGAAGGCCTCTTGGGCTCATTGATCTGGTCAAGAGCTTCGAGCAAAGTGGGACCCTTGTACCAGTCAAGGTTGGTAGATCTCTCAATCATGTTATCACCCTCGAAACCAGAGATTGGTACAAATGGGATCTTCTCAGGGTTGTACCCAACTTTCTTAAGATATGAGGAGACTTCCTTCACAATTTCATCATACCTTGCCTTAGAATACTTGGGGGTAGTGGCATCCATCTATATCAAATGACAAATTGAAAATCAGATCAGGCACGAAATCAAGTTTTAATCAACACAATAATCATAAAGGGTCACTATATAATAATACACATGAATGATTGTAAACCTAACCTTGTTGCAGCAGCAAATCATCTGCTTGACACCAAGGGTAAACGCAAGCAAAGCATGCTCACGGGTCTGACCATCCTTGGAGATACCAGCTTCAAAACCACCAGTGGTTGAGTCAATAATGAGAACAGCGCAGTCAGCCTGGGAGGTACCAGTAATCATGTTCTTGATAAAGTCACGATGTCCAGGGGCATCGATCACAGTGCAGTAGTACTTGGTGGTCTCAAACTTCCACAGGGCAATATCAATGGTAATACCACGCTCACGCTCAGCCTTAAGTTTGTCGAGCACCCAGGCATACTTGAATGACCTTTTGTTCATCTCAGCAGCCTCCTTTTCGAACCTCTCAATCACACGTTTGTCGATACCACCAAGCTTGTAGATCAAATGACCAGTGGTTGTTGACTTCCCAGAGTCGACATGGCCAATGACCACAATGTTGATGTGAATCTTCTCCTTACCCATTATAAAATTCTGGAGAAAATCTGAAAATCAAGAAAGAGTCATATACATAAAACAGAGCACAAACTCAAAACATAAATCCCCTTCACCAAACCACAATATAGATTCCACATCAAAATCACACAAGAATACCCACATATTATGAATGAAAATTATTAACCTGAGATTCAATTTAAAAAAGACAGTTTTTTGAAGAATCATTCAACAAATCATAGAAAAATAAAATCAGTCCAGAATTAAATTTAACAGATTCAAATTGTATAATATGTGGCTGCTGGGATTCGAGCCCAGTTCTTCCATAGATATGGAATTCATTCCAATGAACTACAGCCACTAGATCTTAACTCATCCTTTCCCATAAAACCAGACAATCATTTTCATTGAAAAAAAGGAGTCCAAGAATACGATATTTGACGATTTTGATTATTTTTCATATCTCATTTCCCTTAGGCTGCATTTGCATCAATAAATCAGTAAAATAACTTGAATTCTTTAAAAGAAAACAGATTCCAGATATTGAAACGAACATATATTTCATGAAACCTAATAAGATGACAATCAGAGAAATCATATTCCAAATTACAAGTAAAACACACTAGAGTCATAAAAAATGAACTTATATAAGCTAGAATCATTTAACAAGACACAAATGAAGCGAAGGGAAATAGAAATGAGCTCATATGTAAACTACAAGCAAATCACACAAAAGTAGAACTGCTATTTCAGCTAAGAATCAATCAGATCGGATCTTCCTTCGAATCAAAGGAATGAAACTTGAAGGACAATAACAATTTGTAAATAGATTTATACCTGTGAGCTAAAATGAGACTCTGAGATCCAGCAGAAGAGAGTAGAAAGCTTGTAAGGGAGGGCGAAAACTGCGGCCTGCTTTAGGTTTAAGTAGCCACTCTCTCAGCATAGGCTCAACTAGGGTTTCTTTTTCATCCGTCGGATCATATCTAATCCAACGGTTCCCATTTGACATCTCAGATTAGCCGTTAAAGGTTTTTCATTATTTTCTATTTTCCCTTTTGTCAGCCGAGAGATGCCCTAATTTGATTTTTTCTGGATCTAAAAACCAATATTACCCCTAACATCGTATAAAATTACAAAATGTAACCTAGCAAGGCGTGTGGTCCTTTATTCCCACGTGTAGCCAACACCGCGGTTGTTCCTTGGATGGACTGTCATCATCTTCCTAACGCACACCTTTCTTTTTCTATTCTTTTATCTTTATCAGCAGATTCTCGAGAAACAAACACTGAAAACGCCAGTTTAAAAACAAGAGGTACCCTTCAATGTCTCTCATACGAGATCCAACCTGAAATTTTCCTTCAGTTTTTTATGTAAATGATACATCTCATATACCAGAAGTGTTCAAGCTTGAGTTTTTCAATGTAAGGACTGATAGGATGGGCATAGCTACCAGAAAATCCATGGTTTTCGAAAGCAGTTGATAACTAACAACTCACCGGATATGGAATGATAACTCATCGGCTATAGCATATTCTTTTGAATAGGCACATGAAAATAAATAGTACACACGAACAAAAGCACTTAAAGAGATAACCTCATACGAGTAAGGCTTCAGCCTACTAAAAATGGCCCTAGTAATACACTTATATATAATATTACAATAAGAGATTGGTCGAAAATCTCTTATATAACTAGGGTACGGAACCTTAGGAACTAGGACAAGTGTCGTTGCATTAAACCCTGACAAAAGATATCCATTCTTAAAGAAATAAAAAATCATTTGCAAGACAATCTCCAAGATAACATTCCAAGCTATTCTAAGGAAGCAAGTAGAAAATCCATCTGGTCCAAGGACCTTATCAGGACATTGATCAAACATAGCTCTCCTAATCTCTGCCCTAGAAACATTACGCTGAAAAACGTTACAAGCCTCATATGAAAACGACACATCCACAATAAAATCAAAATCATATGAAACTAGCCTATTATCATTTGTCACAGTGCGAATAGCTAACAGATTCTGCTTCACCTTAACCATCATGTGAAAAAAACGAGTATTCTGATCTCCATTTTGAACCCAAGTAACACCTTCAACAGCCAACAAGCTTTGGAGCTCAGAATAAGCTGCCCAAACATAAACTAAAAGAACTCAGAAAAAGCTTTTTTCCTGGGCAAGATATTATGGATAACACTTTGATGGCTCAAGAGCTGGTGAGTGGCTATGGAAAGTTTCCTCTCTCCACTCAGTGTGTGCTAAAGTTGGACTTGTAGAAGGCTTTCGATTCTGTGGATTGGGAGTTTGTGCTGAAGGTTTTGGAGGATTTGGGTATGCCTGTTGTTATGGTTCAATGAATTAAGGCATGTTTCACCACTCCTGTGTGTTGCGGAAGACGGCTATCGGATAGAGCAAAATCGCAACTGATAATTTGAGAAAATAAAAAATAGAGATAAAGAGGACACAAAATTTACGTGGAAAACCCCTAAATAATATAGGGTAAAAACACGGGCAACTGTAGAAGAAATTCACTATGAGAAAATAGGAATTACAACCTCTCTCGATCTAACAATGAGAAAACAATGATAATTCTCTCTTAATAAAAAGGAGAAAACAACTCTCAAGAAACTCTCTAAATTCTCTCTAGTATTGGAAGAAAGCTAAAATGCTTTGGGATGGTTTTGAAGCTAAATGAGCTAGGGTATTTATAGTTGAAGCTTAAGGACTAATTTGTAAATACACTAACTTACAAAGGCTAAAATTGAGGTTCTACCATTGTTGAAAAATCAACAAATTCTGCACCTACCATTCGGTGCCTACAATTCTTGACTTAATTATTTTTTTTTCTTCAACACCTTTCGGTGCCATGTGCACCAACAATCTCCCACTTGAAGATTTGATTGGAACAATTATATCTTCACATCATTCTTTCTACCTTGTACCATCATGTTGCTTACGTTTCTGACAGACCACACGAGGATCGACACCAACTAAATTTATCAGCATTGATCGCATTTGTCATGAAATCTGCTATGTTGTCTTTGGTATGGATCTTCTGCATATCTACCGTCCCTTCTTCCACCTTTTCACGAATGAAATGGTACTGAACTCGTATGTGCTTTGTCCTTGAATGAAATGCTGGATTCCTTGCTAAATGCAAGGCGCTTTGACTGTTACAAAACAAAGAGACATACTCTTAATTGTGCCCAAGCTCCTCCAATAGCATCTTCAACCAAATTGCTTCTTTACTGGCTTGTGTAGCTGCTACATATTCTGCTTCTGTTGTGAATGTAGCCACAACTGACTGCAATTTTGAAACCCAGCTTACAGCTCCACCAGCAACTTTGAACACATATCTTGTAGTAGATTTGTTTTTATCCAAATCCCCTGCATAGTCAGAATCGACATACCCATTGAGAAGTAAATTTGATCCTCCGTAACTAATGCAACATTTGAGGTCCCTTTGATGTATCTCAGGATCCTCTTTACTGTATTCCAATGCTCTTTGTCTGTATTCACCATGTACGACTAACCACTCCACTGCTTGTGCAATGTCTGGTCTTGTGCATATCATAGCGAACATTAAACTTCCCACTGCTGATGCATACGGTACTCGGACATCTCCATCCTCTCTTCTTCACTGCTAGGACTCATACTGGAGGATAATTTAAAGTTAATAGGAAGAGGGGTAGAAATTGGCTTACAATCTTGCATGATGAATCGTGACAAGATCTTCTTCAAGTAATTCTTTTGTGAAAGCCAAATCTTCCCATTACTTCTGTCTCAGTGAATTTGCATCCCTAGAATCTTGTTTGTTGATCCCAAGTCCTTCATTTCAAATTCCCTAGCCAATTATGTCTTCAATTCTTTAATATGATCTTTGTTGGGTCCTGCAACCAACATGTCATCCACATACAACGGCAATATAACAAAATCGTTATCACCAGACCTCTTGAAATAAGCACAAGGGTCTGCATTAAGTCTGTTGTATCCAAGGCACATAATGAAGGAATCAAATCTCTTATACCAACACCTCAGCGCCTGCTTTAGACCGTACAGAGATTTGTTCAACCTGCAAACCAAGTTCTTCTTTTATTTTTCTTCAAAACCTTCAAGCTGGAGCATATAAATCTCTTCTTCAAGATTTTAATGAAGAACAGTTGTTTTAACATCTAGTTGCTCTAGATGTAAGTTCAATGTAGCACACATTGCCAAGACTACTCGAACTGTTGTTAGTCGAACCACAGGAGAAAAGATTTCATTGAAATCAATACATTCTTTTTGAGCATATCCTTTAACCACCAGTCTTGCACGATACCTCTCACTTGATCATCACCATTTCGCTTGATTTTGAAGACCCATTTGTTACCAATTGGGTTACTTCCTTGTGGTAGTGGCACAAGGTCCCATGTATTATTTTTATGAAGGGCTTCAATTTCCTCTTGCATAGCTATCATCCATAGTGAAGCATCTAAGCTGTTTATTACTTCCTGGTATGTTGATGGATCACCGTCCTCTATTAAAGACAGTAGCAATATACCTTCTATAACATAATATGAGTGCCAATTGGGACGTCTTCTCGCACGATCTGATTGACGAGTTGTTAGAGCTTCAGAACTCTCTGGTTCTTGTTCATCATGTACTGGTTCTGTTTCTGAATAATCTCCTTGTTCAACCTCATTTTCCACATGTATCTTTGTAATCTCTAACTTTCTAGTATTATCATCATATTCTTTTCCTTTTAGTTTATTTTCTACAAAGATAATATCCCTACTGATGATCACTTTGCGGACAGTGGGATCCCACAAGCGATACCCCTTTACTCCATCAGCATACCCTAAGAATTTGTATTTCCTGGATTTTGGATCCAGCTTTGAAATTTCTTGGGAGTTGTACATCACGTACACAATACTTCCAAATACATGGAGGTTTGAATAATCAGCTGGTTTACCAGTCCACAACTCCATTGGTGTCTTCAGCTCTATTATGGTTGATGGAGCTCGATTCACCAAATAACAGGTGGTATTGACTCCTTCTGCCCAAAATGATTTTTCTAGGCCTGCAACTCTCAACATTGCTCTTGTTTTTTCTAACAAGGTTCTGTTCTCGCTGCCACTCCATTTTGTTGAGGAGTGTTTGCCACTGTGAACTATCTTTTGATGCCTTCTTTCCTACAAAGTCACGAATTCTTCGCTTGTGTATTCTCCTCCATTATCTGTTCTGAAACACTTGATCTTATTTCCAGAATCAAGTTCCACCCGCGCTTTGAAGTTTCTGAAAGTTGAAAACACATCTGACTTCTTCTTAAAAGGGTACACCCAACATTTCCTGGAGTAGTCATCAATAAATGAGACAAAGTATTTTGCTACGCCTAGGGATATAACTGGTGCTTGCCATACGTCAGAGTGAACCAATTCTAGAACACTTTTGCCTCTAGAATTTGATGTGTTGAATTTCAACCGGTGCTGTTTACTTGTTATGCAATGCTACACAAAG